CTGTGTCCGTGTGTCGACAGCCTGTGTCCGTATGTCGGCGGCCTGTGTCCGTGTGTCGGCAGCCTGTGTCCGTGTGTCGACAGCCTGTGTCCGTGTGTCGACAGCCTGTGTCCGTATGTCGGCGGCCTGTGTACGTGTGTCGGCAGACGGTGTGCAAGGGTCGGAGACCTGTGTCCGTGTGTCCACAGCCTGTGTCCGTGTGTCGGCAGCCTATGTCCGTCCGCGTCCGTGTGCCGGCACCAGGCGCGGGCCCGTACCAGGTCGGCGGGACCGGCGCGCTCACAGTCGCACTGGCACTGCTTGGTCAGATGGATCACCAGCGACTCGTTCAGGCCCGTCGGCCGAATCTCCACGACGCTCTCCCACTGCGCCGGGTCCGCGGGGCACTTGACCAGCTGCAACAGACGATGGGCACTTGGATGACTGCGCCAAGAGATGACGCCGCTCAAACCGGACGACAGAGCGGCGCTGAAGAGGCTGACGCCTGCAGGAGGACGCTCGACCACAATCAACAGATTGTTGGATCGACCACATGCACATTTTTGGGACTGATAAAGAGCTTGTTGCACCAACTGTACGGTAGTCAGCATCGATTAATGTGTTTGAAAAATATCATCCAGCAACAGTACCTTCTACCACGCGCCAGGATGGGCGAATGACTGTAATGACACCAAACTAAACAGCGTGCTCTGGCCTTTCAGAACTCTGTCATATTGATAGACAATAGCCTGAGCGTCGAAATCATGTTCGGTCCAGCTCAGTTCATCTAATCAGCGTGATTACCACGATTTCCCGGCTGCGCAGGCCAAATGCAGGTCATTCTTTGGACATGCTTCAGTAAAACCGACTAATTCATCACAAATGAATGTCATGTAGCCATTTGAGTTGGACGTTTACAAACTGACCTCACATCACCTTTGAAGGCGATCTGGCATCACCTTGCATAAGCCGACTGACTCTGACTGACAAAGGATTAAACCATTTGACGATCTGCATCAAAACGACCCGTAATGGGAAAGTAAACTATGAGTAAATGCATGAAGAAGCAAGCGTGTCCGTGTGAGCATTCACATGTGACTTTATGACTCGATTAATTGACCTCACATTGACATTGTTCCTTCCCTCAGAAAGTCCCATATTGCCCGTCTCTTGCCACGCGAACAAGAATCCAGCGGATCCCGTCAGGGTCCCGTTGGGTTCTCACGCGTCTCACTGCTATGCTCACTCACTGCTCTCACGCTCTCGCCGTCCGTTTACAGCAGCTACGTGCACTGCACAGCAGCGAAGACGTCGGCACACCGGAGACGAGCCAACGGAGAAACCTCCCCAGTCTCTCCTCCCGGGACAAGGCAGGACGGAGGCGTGCGTGTATGGATGCGTCGGCACACCCGAGGGGAGCCAACGGAGAAACCTCCCCAGTCTCTCCTCCCGGGACAAGGCAGGACGGAGGCGTGCGTGTATGGATGCGTCGGCACACCCGAGGGGAGCCAACGGAGAAACCTCCCCAGTCTCTCCTCCCGGGACAAGGCAGGACGGAGGCGTGCATGGATAAGTCGACCCCACGAGGCGAATTTGAAACTCGTGAGAGTGGAAGGCGTGAACGCACTCCCGCACCTCCCGGACGCAGGGCACGGTCCGCGTCGGCGGCGGGCAGCGGGGCCGGGCAGTGGTGGCTGAGCGCCGCTGGCCAGGGCGGCGGCGGGCAGCGAGGCCGGCCAGTGGTGACTGAGCGCCGCTGGCCAGGGCGGCGGCGGGCAGCGAGGGCCTGGCCAGTGGTGATTGAGCGCCGCTGGCCAGGGGCGGCGGCGGGCAGCGGGGGCCGGGCAGTGGTGGCTGAGCGCCGCTGGCCAGGGCGGCAGCACTCACCTCCACCGTGACGGTGAAGTCGGCGGCACTTACCTCCACCGGACGGTGAAGTTGACCCGCTGGCCGATCTTGAGCCCGTCGCAGCGGTTGGTCTCCTCGGGCGCGCCAGTGCCAGGCACGCCGAGTGGTACCGGGATCCGCACGAAGTCCGTCGAATTGTCCTTCAGCTCAACAAACGACGTGATAGCCTGCAGCGTGACGGCGTCAGGTCGTCACCCCATTGGTCACCGGTGGAAGTGGCAGGGGCGTATTCAAGATTTTCAATGTAGGGGTGGGGGCGGAACTCATGAAATTCCGCTGAAATTTATTGTATGCCATAAAACATTATTATCTGTTCTCGATCTGCTCACTTTTACGTGTTCAAATGGAATGTGCCTTAGTCATGTAAATATCGATGCATGCCACAGGTTTAGCTGGGAGCATATTCCCTGGGATCTCCTGTGCGCGCACGCTCCTGTGAATGGGCCCTGGTGTTGTTCGCGGAAAGCGAACCGCGAGGCGGAGATCTCGGATTTCGAGCGATAGGGCACAGCTCCAACGTCGTGATCCCGGGCCAAGCTTCTCTTAGTTGCGGTCCTTAATACGCGACAAACCAAATTGGATCACGAGTCCGAAGTCGTTGACCGTAGAATGCATAAATCTAGTCACAGACAGCAAGCCAATGGTTGCATTTCGCACGTTGTTCTTTGTGAAGAGGACAGCTGTTCGCCACTTGACAATAGGCCGGCCCTGCGTTAAACGGCCACAGCGGTCGAGGCTTAGCGATGACATTCAGATGTCGGTCAATCCGACATAGCGCAGACAACTCAGATTGTCGTTCCCAACAGACCCTAGAGTATGACACTCAATGTAGGTTCAATCCGAACCTAGCGTATGACCACCAGATGTCTGTCAACTCCGACCTAGCGTATGACACTCGATGTCGGTTCAACCGACCTAGGTATGAACTCGATGTCGGTTCAGATCCACCTAAGGAGCATGACATCAAGATGTGGTTCAATCCGACCGAGCGTCTGCCCTCAGATGTTCGGTTCAACTCGACCTAGGTTATGACACTAAGGTCGGTTCAATCTGGACATCGCGTATGACACTCAGATGTCGGTTCACAATCCGACACTAGGTATGACAATCAGATGTCCGGTTTTCCAATCCGACCTAGGTATGACACTCAAGCTGCTCCCGTTCAAATCCGACCTAGCGCTATGACACTCAGACCTGTCCGGTTCAACCCGACCCTAGCGTATGACACTCAGAATGTCGGATACACCCAACCGACCCAGCGTATGACACTCAGATGTCAAGGTTCCACCCGACCTAGCCTGTATGCACTCGAGTGTCGGTTCAAACCCGACCTGGCGTATGACACTCAGATGTCGGTTCAATCCGACCTAGCGTATGACACTCAGATGTCGGTTCAATCCGACCTAGCGTATGACACTCAGATGTCGGTTCAAACCCGATCTAGTCCATGACACTCAGATCTCGGCTCAACCCGAACTAGTCCTAGATCACTCGAAAGGGAACGGTGGGTACAGGGTCACCGTAAGGGTGCGGCACGTACGTCGTGCTGCTCCTTGACCAGCTGAACCACGTTGGAGGAGTCGCTGGAGAGTGTGCCGGCCGAGCTCGCCTCGATGTGCTGGCTCAGCATGTCGTACGCGGAGCGCTGCTCCGACGTCACCGCGAATATGATGTTGATGCTGTTCTGCTTCACCTGCAGGAGATACGGAAACTCCGCCTGCGTTGACGGGCGCGGAGACCACGTGGAGATCCTCATGCAGACCTCTCCAGAATGACTGGCTGGCTTCCAGAATGTTTGCCGCAATGAATGTAAGAAACAATCGTTAAGTTTTTTTCAATATATCTATGAACAAGCTTTTACACTAGTGCAGGGTCGATGACCTCATTAGCAATGGCAATGACATAACTTGACATACATAACATTACATGCTAAACTTCCAATAACAGCAGTGTAAGCATGCACACGGAATACACCCTGAGCTGACGAGTAAGTTTTCATGTAGGAGCTTAGGCCGATTACCTTCTGATTGATTTGCGACACGCTGGGATAGTCGAGCTTGTCTGAGTGGGTGTAGAATCCCTTCTCGTCCAAGTGACACTCGCCATCGTTCGGCTCAACCACGCCTCCCAGCTGAAAACAACGGGAAGATCCAGGTCGGCGACGGCCGGACGCCTGCCTCCAGCTGCGAGTCGGTCCACAAGGGCAGCGTAGTGGCACTGCTGCTCGTGCTGGCCGCCGCAGGTCAGCGGTCGTGAGCGGCGAGCCGCAGAAACACATGGTCAGTCCAGTCCTGGGACACGCAGGAAAACTAACCAACAGAGAGCAAACGGACATCCCACGTCCAGGCACACCAAACACCCCAGGGCTAGACAGTATTACCGCGAAGAGGTCCGACACCGACTGCTTGCCGTCCCCAGCGAAGCGTGTTCACCACGGACTGTCTGCTTGTGTCTGCCTCCGCCTGATGCGTGCGTGGGGGTCTACCCAGCCGCCCTCAGCGTAGTCACCGTCGCCACGGCACGCCCCTGTCGCTCCTGGCTGACCTTGCCGCCGCCCTGGCAATCCTTGCCGTCGCCCTGGTAAACCTTGCCGTCGCCCTGGCTAACCTTGCCGTCGCCCTGGTAAACCTTGCCGTCGCCCTGGCTAACCTTGCCGTCGCCCTGGCAAACACTGCCGTTGCCCTGACAAACCTTGGCGTCGCCCTGGCAAACCCTGCCGTCGCCCTGGCTAACCTTGCCGCCGCCCCGGCAGACCTTGCCGTCGCCCTGGCAAACCTTGCCGTCGCCCTGGCAAACCCTGCCGTTGCCTGGCTGACCTTGCCGTCGCCGGCGTAGTGGGAGCCGGCGTCGGTGGAGAAGACCAGCAGGCGGCGCGCGCTGCTCCGCCAGCCGATCTGCTGTTTGCATACGATGGCCTGCATGATGGCGTCGAAGCCGCCCTCGGGGAAATCCAGGTTTCCCGACACCTTGGCACTCATCACGTTTTCCTGACGAGGAACGGAACGAACGGACAAGTCAGACCATTCACAGGCAGAGATGGTCCCGGACAGACAGACAGTGCCGAATCGTTCTACCGATGCGATGCTGCCTTGACTTGATCGAACGTTGTGCACCGTGAGAATGCACTCTAAAGTCAATGATGCCACAGCAGCTGTGTTGGCTTGTTCAGCTTTATCTGGACTGCGCGGGTGGGCACGCATGGTCTCCGGGAGCCCATCACTGCAAAACGTACAGTCTCCGAGAGCCGATCACTGCAAGACGCGCAGTCTTTGATTGAGAGCCGATCACTGGAAAACGTACAGTCTCCGAGAACCGATCACTGCAAGACATACAGTTTCCGGGAGCTGATCACCACAAAACGCACAGTCTCCGAGAGCCGATCACTGCAAGACGTAGTCTCCGAGAGCCGATCACTGCAAAACGTACAGTCTCCGGGAGCCGATCACTGCAAAACGTACAGTTTCCGGGAGCTGATCACTGCAAAACGTACAGTCTCCGGGACCCGATCACTGCAAAACGTGTAGCCTGTCGATGAGGGATTTCTCTGTGTCATGCCGAGTGTCCGAGTCGCCATGACTACTCCGTGCTGCTCGCCGCAAAGGCCGATCAAACCACACACAGGAGGCACCGTCTTGCCTCGGCAACCCACCTGTCAACAATCATGCGGCGATGGGCGCCCAGCCAGCCGGCAAGAGATAGATTGAAAAGCACACGGGGACGACCGAGTGTAAGTCTAGCGCCGAGTTACCTTCGCTCGGACGAGTGAGCGCGACTCACCGCGAACGAGTCGATGTCGGTCGTCAGCGGCAGGGAGTTGTGGAAGCCGTAGGGGGCGGTGCAGTTGTCACACGGATGCTCCAGACTATAGACACACAGACACAGTCCGCCGGGTTAGTACAGTGTTCGCAGCCAACGTGGAAAAGCCCGCAGTGCTTGTCAAATTTCTCTGCTGGCGCATCGTTACTGGTCTAGCTTGTGCATTCCGTCAAAAGCGCTCATTATTGCGCCGGCGGTTTTCGGACGGACGCCAGGGACACGACAGCTCTGCACAGACTGGACATTTGGGCACTGTTGATACCGCAGTATGGATACAATGAACATCTTCAGACTCAAGTGTAAAGTCTGCTGTTAGCATCCATTCAGATTCAGATCCATGATGTATTTCCGATGAAGTCATAGCAGTATTTCACGCTTCCGTTCGTTGCCAGTACCAAACATCCAGGGGTGTGTATCCTTTAAAGGGACCTTCGGAGCATATTTCAAACACATATTTTGTTGAAGCCTCAGGACCGTCGTGTGGGATGATAAAACTGGCTGGTGTCATCTCAGCACGAAGAAGATATGATGTACGCAAGGCCAGTTTCTTTTTTCGAGTCCAAATTGCGCGGCCAACGTGTCGGTACAGGACAAGGCTTCTTCCTTGCAAGCCCCAGATTCAACTCCTGCAATGAAGAACTTTGGCGCACGCAAAACATTCAAGCGGGATTTTTTCGCTGCCCCCTTGTCTGTGCGCAGAAATTTCACGTCGATTTCTTTCGAAATCGGCATGAGGACTGGCATAATAAACAGAAGGGGCTACCTGCGAACATCGTCACTTAAATAGTATTACATTCATAGTGGTGGACAGGGAGTCCAACGCAGTAGCGCAGGCAGGGTGGGCACAGGGGTCACGCAACCTCCCCCCCCCCCGCCCCTTTAGGTTTCAAGCCAGCTCCATACCGGTCTGAGCTCTGGGCGCCCATTCCCCAAGGGGGGACGAGGCCGGGCTCGCGATTTGCATTGGCCAGGCCCTTGCAACAATGTGGGGCTCCTGTGTCGGTCATGGGCACACAGTACCTAGCCAAGTATCCTGTGTCAATAAGGGGCCTCGGGTCGACCAGGGGAACATTTGCTGACCAGGCCCGTGGACGGGACCCCGAATGCCAGCGGGCCTCCTGCATTGATCGGGGTCCTCTGACAACGAAATGAAACCCGAGACTATTGAGAAGAGCTTACATTGAAACGACGGAAGAACCCTGCGTCAGTCAGGGCCCCAGGATCGATCGACCGCTGGGCCCTCCAACCCAAAGCCACCCACGGCCCCGTTAGGCCGAACTGGAGTCTATGTGACAAGTATTGGACCACCTGCGGCGATCGGTAATATGTTGCGCCAATGAGGGTTCCTGCGTCTATTAGGCTTTAACTGTGAGGGTCAGAATGTCTATTGCGTCTGGGAAGGGACCAACGTGATATGATGTGTCCTTCTGATGACCTCCGGATGGTCTAAGGGACCCCGCCCACATGTCGCGAGGGTGACAGCCAAGAGGCACCCGCGGTGGGACGGAATGGCCCTTCAGCCCCTGATCGGGAACTATAATGTGCCCCTTAGTGTCCTTCTCAACCGGGTCCCTTGCCTGGAAAAAGAAGTGGATTCCGTTAGTATTGAATGGAGTGGGTCAAAATGAGCTAAAAAATGAAAAAGTCAGCCTGTTCGCCTGAAAAGGTCGATTCTCTTACAGAATCGAATTGTTCAACGAATTACATAAAAACGCTTTGAGTCTGTACGCTCGCAAACTCAGGAGCAGGAACAATGTTGGCCGCGGTTGCAGTTTTCGTTAAAAAAATGTGTTAGCCACTGCAAACAACATTAGTGCGGCGGATAACATGCGCGCGTGATCTACCGTCGTGAAATAATGCTTCCAAAAGTCTTTTGAAATACTTTCGTAATGTTCAAAGATTAGACTGGTGTGCATCTTTTTTTGCAACCTTGAGGCTGTCGTCTGGACAGATGAACAGCCACTACAGCCTACAAATGGAGATTTTGCGTTTACTTGTCTATTTCCGCCACCCGATTTGCACCCCCCCCCCCCCTTCTTTGCCAGCGCTCAGTGTTAGTCACGGAGCCGCCGCTGAGCGGCGCACGGAAACTACAACCCTCGGGCGTCGAGAGTTGTGATGCTAAGATGCGAGCGTGCAATGTTGAGCGTGCAAAACAATCTTATGTGATTTGTCTAACTAATGGATTCTGATTGAATGTTGAATACATTCAGGCAAGCATAAACTGGCCATGTTAATATGATTTTTAACGCATTTCGATCCACAATGTACGTTCAAGGGTTCCTTAATATCTTTGTAGAAACCAGATCCAAATGCTGACAAAGCTTCTGAGTTCTATCGGTTTAGAAGGGGTTCAATGAGCCATTGAAAAAAAATAAAAAGCACCGGTGGTTTATTCCGTGCAGTCGTTTACCGACTGAGTTATCCGGTTTATTGACGTCAAAATTTGAACAGAATTGATCTCGCGGTGGCCGATGGCTTGTGCTCCAGTTATAGACCGCAAAAATAATAATGAAACAAAGAAAACCTTTTTGTGTGCGGGATCTTTCACCATCAGGGGCTCTTTCTCAACCTGCGCCCCTCACCATTGTCAAGGCTCTGGACGCGCCCCTGGTCCAAGGGCGCTCCCCAGTCGGAGCGGCTACTTAAAATTGAAGTTATGAGCTATTCAGAAGGAATGGACAAAATTTGTATTCTTATTTTTAAAAAATTGTAGATGCCGACTAAATCAGATGCTCCTGATCTACCAACGAGTCAAAAGTGCAAAAAGGTGGCGAACTTCAAGTGCAACGTACCGATTTTCATGTTAGTGGTTGGATCTGACCTAGCCCTCACATCTGCACGGGGTCCCAGAAGTCATATCCAGTTGTTTTTGTTTTTGTCGTTCGAGCGTGGTGTTCGTGAGAGCGCCACAAATATGACCCATAAGCAGAGGTGTGGTTTCTTATTCAGTTTGTGGGTTCAGCCCCTCCCCCTCCCCTCCCGCACACACAACTTTGAGAGGAAAGTGGGCTAAATCGGAAAAACGTCTTTTGGCGTGTTTTGGGCGTAGGGTATACCATGTGCAGTACTCAGCCTCAGTTCACGCCCAACTTATTTTCCGAAACTACGCCCCAGCCCATAAACTACAATAAGCTGTAAGTGTAGCACCCGTCAGAAAGGCTCCTAAACAGCAACAGACGGCGGAACACTCTTTGAGCACGGACAAGCACCGGGCAGCAGAAAGCTCCCTTCCAACATGAACGCATGAAAAGTAAGATTTATTTGGTTCTTGAAGCAGCAAGATTAGCACTATGACGATGCTGACCAGGAGATACGCAATGGCTGGGGCGCAGAGGGTGAGAATATGGCACTATTAGAAAGGAGTGTACTTGAGTTTTTACCTATCTAGGTTGCATATCATCATACCTTCCTGTGCAATACGCTGATACACTTCCAGACAAAGCATATCAAACTGTTCAAGTCCTTTCTTACCGTACGAGGATCTCATAACACGGTCGCAAGCATGAGACACGCTGCTGGGCCTGGGCGTGTACACGCGGGCCACGAATCTACGTGGCCCCTGGCCCCTCGGTACTCACTCAGCGGGCAGCGTGCTGGTGTAGGGCAGCAGCACCTTGTCGACGAAGCTGCCGAAGCCCAGCCGGAAGTTAGTGGTCAGCTTGCACATCTCGAGGGCCAGCAGGTTGCCGAGCGTGGACAGCTTCTGCTTGTCGTCCTCCATCGACTTGCTGAGGTCCATCAGATAGTAGAGGTCGATCGGGTAGTTGGGCGCCAGCGCGAACCTGACACTCAGCTGCTGCGGCTCGCCCACGCGCAGACTCATGCGCACGTGCTGCGGCGCGATCTGGATCGCGTCGAACGAGCCACCGGACGAGCAGCCGAACGAGTCGCCAGAGTCGCCGGACGCGCCTCCGGACGAGCCGGCGCCGGCGTCGCCTTCATGCTCGCTGCTGAGCGGCTCATCCCGCGGAACCGAAACCTGGTTGGCCCAGGTCTTGAGCAGGCGTTCGTCGCAGCTCAGCGCGCCGCTGCGGAAGTTGCGCTCCCTGTTGCAGCGCGACGCCGTCGTGTTGTCGCCGGTGACGAAGTGCTGAGACACGAGCGGCGCGCTGACGTCACAAGCACGCCCAGCCACGCGGGTCAGGCGCGGGTCAAGGTCAGGCCTGCAGTGGCACGGACGGTACAAGCAGGCGAGCCACCGCGGCCACGTTCTGATGAGGCATGGCTGCAGAGCTTAGAGCGGTTGTGAAGCGCTTTTGTCCGGCAGCTCTTCATTGCAGGCAAGATAAGGAACTAGGAGTCAGAACTAGAAGGCGGAACTAGATTCGATGCTTATGAATAGACGCAGTTTGGTTACAGAATTACGCATTGCATGAATCAAACAACAGTCGACAGACATGGAGGCACACCTCTAAAAGTTCGGAGTCCAGTGGTCAACTGTGGTTTGGTGCGGTGGTCAATTTTTTTTAAAAGCAAAGCTAGCTCGGCTCTGAGAGGCGGTGAACACCAACGACACACAGTCCAGTGCTATATGGACGCTTCGCATGAAGAGGAAACGTTGGATGACTGCTACGCACCTCAGCTGTTGATAATGCGGCTAATGTCCTTTGCGACGACAACACACGACGTAAGAGAAATCGACTGGCGCCAGATGTTAACGTCCTCTAAACTGTGCACAACTATCCCATGGAATGACAAGTTAAGCTCAGATTTGGATCTGGTCGACTTGCGATCTCGCAGCCAGCGGTAGTGTTGGGAGCCATCTCGCAGCCAGTGGTAGTGTTGGGAGTGATCTCGCAGCCAGTGGTAGTGCTGGGAGCGATCTCGCAGCCAGTGATAGTGTTGGGAGCGATCTCGCAGCCAGTGGTAGCGCTGGGAGCGATCTCGCAGCCAGTGGTAGTGCTGGGAGCGATCTCGCAGCCAGTGATAGTGTTGGGAGTGATCTCGCAGCCAGTGGTAGTGCTGGGAGCGATCTCGCAGCCAGTGATAGTGTTGGGAGCGATCTCGCAGCCAGTGGTAGTGCTGGGAGCGATCTCGCAGCCAGTGGTAGTGCTGGGAGCGATCTCGCAGCCAGTGGTAGCGCTGGGAGCGATCTCGCAGCCAGTGGTAGCGCTGGGAGCGATCTCGCAGCCAGTGGTAGTGTCGGGAGCGCACTTACGGCCTGAGCACACCAGGCGCACGTCGGACTCTGCATGCATTTGCCGCAAGTCTGCTTGGACAAGCACGGATTCTCTTGGAGCACCTTCGTGGCATCCTGCCCAGAAGTCATGGTCAGGAGGACTGCACAAGCAAAGAGCAGCCGGAGCAGCATTCTTACGGCTGAAAAAGAAACGCGTTGTTAATTAAGCTGATCATGACCGCCGCAAAAGGTGTGTGAATGGAGGTGGAAAACGGAGCAGCAACACCCAAAGTCGCAGCGCGAATAAAACTAAGGTCAGAAACATTCACCTCATGACATTAGCAAAGTCAGTTCATACTGACTAGTCTTTGCAACTGAAGGCATCCTAGCCTCTGCACTCAATGGCCCACTGGTTCCAGGCCGGTGGCTTCGATACATTGCATAGCCGCCTGCCCGCCGACCAAGATAAACTCGCTTCCGTCCATGTCGCACAAAACCCAGCGTCACCTGTCGTAGGTCACTCGGTAAGTCATGACTGCACCATGTGCGGAGGACAACATGTGAACCCGACCATGTTCCGCGACCTGGCCAGCCCGAGCCGGCCGCGCGGCCGGTGCGGCCGCGGCGCCTGCGCTCGGCGGGCGGGCACGGCCTGAGACGGCCCTGCCGCGCCGCCTACGCCACCCGCAACGTCCGGCGGCGGTGCGCAGACATCCGTCGCCGCGATAACGTACCAGGCCGCCCGCCGCGATAGCGTACCAGCTCGTCCGCCGCGGCGCTGGTGTGCAGCCGGCGGGCTCCGCGCTGACGCATGTCACATAGCGGTGCGTGGGGCTCCGGGAGGGCTCGGGAAGTTCGCCTGTCGACGGAAGGGCCAGCGTCGCTCGGCGATCGCCGCCTGAGCACGGACCCAGCGGACCCACCCCGCCCAGCGGACCCACCCCGCCCAGCGGACTCACCCCGCCCAGCGGACCCGCCCCGCCCAGCGGACCCACCCCGCTCAGGGGACCCACCCCGCCCAGCGGACCCACCCCGCCCAGCGGACCCACCCCGCCCAGCGGACTCACCCCGCCCAGCGGACCCACCCCGCCCAGCGGACCCACCCCGCTCAGGGGACCCACCCCGCCCAGCGGACCCGCCCCGCTCAGCGGACCCACCCCGCCAAGCGGACCCGCCCCGCCCAGCGGACCCACCCCGCCCAGCGGACCCACCCCGCCCAGCGGACCCACCCCTCTCAGCGGACCCGCCCCGCCAAGCGGACCCACCCCGCCCAGCGGACCCGCCCCGCTCAGCGGACCCGTCCGTACCTGACGTAGTGGGAGCACGCCCGGCACAGGCCGCTGGAGACCGCCGTACGCGTGAGCTGGCGCGCGGCCGGGCCTGTGCGGCCCCGCCCGAGCAGGAGCGGCCGGCCGGCTGACGTGGGCCCCGGAGAGCGGCCGCACCCCTCTCTGGAGGGATCACGCCGCAGACGCAGCCCGGTTGCCTGAGTCGTCTGTGTCACATTTGCAATGCTCTGCGCTGGTCGGAACCTGAGCCTAAGAAGAAAGCGGTCCTTTTCAACGGTTCCTTCTATGTCCAGAAGTCCACGAACTTCCTCGCCCATGATATTGCATATTTCCTCGCAATCTTGATCATGCAGCGCTAGCTGCCAAAGCTTCAGCTATTACCTCCAATACGTCAGTGTTCAGAGGCCAAAATAATGTTGTACCTTTTCGGTATTTCTGATTATCTAAAGTAATTTTTTGTGTGAGTGAGCATTCCTATCATGAGCGCAACGTGTGGCATCGCATTCCCGAGCTTGATCGATGAGGGCGCTCCTCCTGTTCCAGATCACAGCTCAGCAACGGCCGTGATCAGTCAGCTGAAAGGAGGCGTAGATGAGAACCCTCCCTCTGAACGCGGTACGTATGGAGTGGATAAGCAAGCTGATCGTGCGATGACGCCGTGGTGACAGGTGCGCTCGATTCCTCATGTGATGTCGCATGCAGTGCCGATGCGTTCGGAATGGGTCCTGGCTGACTTGAGACGAGCTATTTCTGAGTTTATGACCGAACTGTTCCAGGCCTGAGAGGGCCTGCTCTGAGTTTACCATTGGCCCTCATCAGCCTAGAGGGCGGCCCTTTCCAAGCTTATCACGGACTTTTCTTGATTCGAGATGAGCCCTTTCAAGACCAGAATGGGCTGTTATCGTACCTGAAACTGACAAAGGCGGTTTCCTGTCTTGAAATGGAACAGTTCCCGCCTAATCTTGCCCCTTTCCAGTTTCAAAACGATTCCAAAGTTTAATATGGGCCCTTTCCGGTCCCGAAATGGACCCTCTGCGTTTACCTTCGCAACACAATAAGTGAATCACCATCATATATCTGAGGTCTCCTTTGAGGTTAAGTGACATTATGAGGAAGCAAAAAGATAACTGAGCCCCTCCTCAAAAGATGGGGATGGGGATGTACCCTAGCCCGCCTCCCCCTCCCCCTCAGTCGGGCCCGCCACTGGGCCCGACTAATGCCCCTCTGCTTCCCCTTACCGCCTGCGTCTTCATGTTCGTGGAGTTGCTTTGTTCACGCGAGCTACTAGATACAGTCACACAGATAAAAAATCGCGAACCTGGACGATGCGAACAAGATCGCAGCAACGTCCCAGCCACAGCAACGACCATAGCAATGTCCCAAGTGAAACGTCCAGATTGCCTTTAAGGTTAATTGCTCAAGCACGTTGTCGATTTCTTCTGAGGGCTTTCGCTATGTTAACATTTCGCGAAAAGATCGCGTCCTTTTCCCGAGTCTGTCTCGAACAATACGGCAACTAGGGGTTACAGCCCCATATGTCTACGCTTTGAATGGCAACATCTTTTCCATCACCTGCATCCCTGTGCCCAGCCAGCCCGGGCCCTCGGACAGCCATCCCTCCTCCGGCCCGGCCCCTGTCGGGCCCTTATGCCAAATTGGAGTGTCCAGCACCTGTCTAGTCCTGTCACGCACCTGGAAGGTCCGAAGCCCGTCTAGTCCTGTCACGCATCTGGAGGGTCCGGCACCCGTCTGGTCCTGTCACGCATCTGAAAGGTCCGGCATCCGTCTAGTTCCGCCACACACCTGGAGGGTCCGGCACCCGTCTGGTGCTGTCACGCATCTGGAGGGTCTGGCACCCGTCCGGTCCTGCCACACACCTGGAGGGTCCGGCACCCGTCTGGTCCTGTCACGCATCTGAAAGGTCCGGCATCCGTCTAGTTCCGTCACACACCTGGAGGGTCCGGCACCCGTCTGGTGCTGTCACGCATCTGAAAGGTCCGGCACCCGTCTAGTTCCGTCACACACCTGGAGGGTCCGGCATCCGTCTGGTCCTGTCACGCACCTGGAGGGTGGCCGCTGACCGAGCGCTGGCCGGCCCAGAGCCGTCCGCCGTGCTGTGCTGGCTAGCTACTGACCGGCACTGGAGCAGCCGGGCGCCCTCTGCCGCCTTCCAACGCCCCCGCGGACCGGCACTGGACCGCAGCGTGGCGCTGGCTTCCTAAGACGCGAAACATCGCCGCTCACTGATGTCTCTCGCGTCAAAAGCGCCGTTCAGGGAATGAGACACGTTATTCGGCGATGTAATTAGCACCTAGAGGTCAGTGGTGTCCAGTTTGTGATGCCTTTTCGTGTCGTGCGTCCTGACATAGTGTGACGTCACAATGGCTGACGGCATTGGAACGGAAGTGAAGCCTTGTCTCCGTTGTGAGCGAAGCGGCCGGCCGGCTGCGGCGGCGCTGCCGGCCCCGGACGCGGCCGGTGACGAGCGGCGGACGTAGTGGCGAGACAGCAGCCGCGGCGGAGTGACGGACCTGAGCCGCCCTCTTCCGGCCAATCAGGCCTGTGACGAGCTGGCTCGCCTGGCGATGGAGACGGAGGCGGCCCGACTGGCTGTCACTCGCTCGGCGCGTGACGGAGCGGACGCGGACCAGTTCACAGCTCCTGCGCGCAGTAGCGAAGCCAACATTTATGACTGATCATAACTGCTTTAACGCGTTTTGTGTCCATCACTCGGCGTGACATTGCTGAGCGGGGGCGATACTTTGCGAAATCGGATGAGCTGGGACCCTTGCCCATGGCAAAAGACAAAAATAGACTAGATCTTGAAAACAAAAGCTCTAAATGTGTCTTTCTGCGGTGCATTTTATCACGATGTCTGAGATCGAAATGCCTTTCTTTCCAGAGCTTTTGAAATCTATTTGTCCTGCTGGCCAAATTCACATGTCTTTTTGTCATGTTGTAGCCGGGACATTTTGCAATAAATCGACAGGTCGAAGGGTCATCTTTGCCCCCTCATTTCTCAGATTTTTGACAAATGGGCCACAGAGGTTGTCAGCCACGCTGAAGACGTCCATAACATTTTCAGGCCTCCCAGTTAAGCGGTTTCGGGAGTTACAGACTCCGGCATTTCCGTGTTCTGTTGTTCAAGGGCTACGTTTGGCGGCGATATTTTCTCTACCGTGAAATAAAGCCATACAAAATTATGTGTGTCAAAATAATGTAAGAATCTTCCGATAACGCGTGTGCCGTGGTCGGAGACATCCTTTCACAGCGCATAGTGATTGTGGCATTATGAATATTTGTAATCCGCAAAGAACAATATTCCATGCGAGCTGAAACCTTTTCTTATTCGCTTGTGAAAGAGCGTGGCTTAAAACCCATAATTTCAACATAACACGGTGGCTATCGGCTTGGAAAGGTTTGGAAGCAATGTCACAATAAAGAACTCCGCTTCATTCGCGCGATCTGTCGTCGGCCACTGGCGCAGTATCTCCGCGGGTCTCTCCGCCCAGGCGGCGGAAACATGAGCGCATTGTGAGAAAACACTAAGCTTAACAACACACTGGCTCGCAGACACGTAGAAGTCCACTCAGTAGGCCAGTGACTCAGTCCAATTCACTCTAACTCATCAATATTCTTTAAATCAAGCGACCGCTACTTCCCTCTCATAGCCTGAATCTCACTCGCGGACAATGCCAGTCTGAGCACTCCCTGGGGTTGTGTTCCTGTAATACTCTTGGTTGGAAGATACCTTGTCTGGTGCTAAAATCATCCTCTGCCCAAAGGACTTCTCCTTATGGTATGAAAAAACATACCGTCTGCTTGTTAGCCTTGCCCTGCAAAAAATGCCGTAGCTTCTCAGCAGAGAGAATATGACCGAAATGGAGGCCAGACAGGCTGACACTGTCAGCAACTGTTTTCAAAGTCCCACGAGTACTTTTTACAGGTCCCCGTCGCAAGGGTTCTTCCCATGGGATGAGGCAACGTAATGTCACTCGCACTTCACGCCAATATCCTCCTCATGAAAGCAAATATTCAAATAATTAACCTGTTCTTGTACCCCGTAGCTGATGCCTATGAAAGTAATACATTTTTCCGCATTTAAAACGACATCTTTTACTTCCGGGAAAAGGTACTGAAGTAATGTGTGGACGGTGAAAGTGATGTGATTCATAGCATCTGACAGCGCACAATAACTATGAGTAATCTGTCCAGGTTCCGGCAAATATACCATGAGAGGATGCGGCGTGCATTGCGGATCATCTCAATAAAATTGCTAAACTTCGTTTCAATCGACGAAAGTGGAGCTTTCTAAAAAGTCTAGAACTGTCAACGCTTCATTCTCTGGCAGTTGTTTTAAAGCTCGTTGAAAAGTTTGCTCTGGTGTTGAGCCATAAGGTAATGTCTGGTAACTTTAACTATGGTGTGTAATAATTTGGTCAAAAACTCATCCATTGCCAGAACAAGTTCAGCGTAAGTACAGAGTTCAGTGTTCACCCACTGGATAAATCTGATTTAACTGACCGAATCCTAAATGTACTCGGTTTGGGCAATGATAGCGTTGGTAAAAAACGACCGCACCCCGTCTTAAGCGCGAACGGTTCTGACAATCCCGCATCATGCGAGATTCCTTTCGAGCATCCCATGCGCCGCGACTCAGGTATTTTAAGTGGCATCTCGCAGGCCAAGAGATCGATTATCAGCTTCGCCTCTTGGTGATAATAGCATACGCAAACCGCGTGAGTGTCGCTGCTACCCATCAGGGCGCAGCGTTCGCAGGATAATAATAGCCTCGTGTTTGCCTATATTTTTCTATAACCAGAGTGTTTCCAGCTTTTGTAACATCTATTATCCAAGCGTTTTGACACATTGTTTGTCCCAAGCATTACAGAACACATCCGTTGGAAAAGCAAGGCAAATGAAACATATTACTCTCATAGAGATGAGCATGGAGTCCAACGACATGTGACACGCAGGAGTGGCTAATTCAAATAGAAATTCTAAGCTATTCAGAAGGATTTCGAGAAAACTCGCATTACCGAACAAATCGGGCGTGTCAGACCTGTATAACCGAGTGCAGAAAATGTAGCATATTCCCTTCAAACCTCACCGTGCACTCGTTTTGTGCCTTCCAAATGGATCGGCACAAAGGGGGCTGCATGAGCCCTTCCTTGTTCCAAGACACTTATCAGTACAACCACGCGCTCCACGCCACGTACAACGTAGTACAACTACGCGCTCCACGCCACGTACAACGTAGTACAACCACGCGCTCCACGCCACGTACAACGTAGTGCAACCACGCGCTCCACGCCACGTGCAACGTAGTACAACCACGCGCTCCACGCCACGTACAACGTAGTACAACCACGCGCACGGCAGTCGCTGGCCTGAGGCAGCCCAAGGCTGGGCCAGTGCCTGGATCACTGGGCCTTTTGTCTGACTGAGCCCTCCCACATGAACCAGAGACCAAACCACCTTCACAGTGTGCACCCACCTCCCCCCCCCCCCCGCTGCTCCAATTACCTCGGCTCAGAGAGTACACATGAGGGAAGGAGGGGGGGGGGGGGGGGCAGCCGGTTACGGCGGTGTGCCGCGCGTCCAGTCTTCGTGCTCTACGTATGATTCTTCGGTACATGGACTACGTCTTTGCGGGCAGATAGCGAGCTTTCTTATGACTATCCTGCATGCAATGAACTACACTTTCACACGCTCATGAGGAAAATATCAATACCACACAGGAAAATTGTTCTTCGTGCCTTGCAACAGTTCGTGATGCTCGAATAATTATTCATCGTGCGATGACGGCTTCAAGGCTGGCATACAAATATTTAAGACAGTTTTCTGATCATTTTAAAAGGAAGGTTCGCCAAATCATCTTTCAAGCAAGTGGAAAACTGCCACTGATGTTAGCTCTGCAACCACGCAACTTGAAATTGGTGGAGGCCTGAACTCCGAAAAGATGCAGCTGAGAGATTTAAAAACGTCACCGGTGACTTCAGCGTTAATGACAAACCCCATAACACAATTTAATCAAAATCTGAGGGATGAGGGTGTAAGACACTTGTCGCTTTGTCGTGAAATGCCTCCCCCACGAACTGCCCGAGTGGCTTCAACGGATGTTCGTGAAGTTAGCGATTTATTCAGCGATTTTTCCAGCGACGAGTTCCGATTTCCCTGAAAAATTGTTTCAAGGTCAATTGTGGCATGAAAACACCAAAAATGATCTTTTTTTTGCAATATCATGTGACCTTCAAGATTAAAAGCTGGGTCAAAGGGCGGGGAACTCGACATCACCCAAAAATTACCGGCCGGTTTTCAACTTGCAAATGTCAAAATATTCAACACAGAAAGAACTAGCGTCCGTCAAAAAGTTCTGGCCTCTCAAGGTCAGCCTTCAAGGTCAAACGCAGGCTCAAAACACGGGGAACTCCATATCATCCGAAAGTTACCGGCTGATTTTTTACTTAAAGATGTCAGGATTATCACCAGAGAAAGAGCTAGCGTCCGTAAAAAATTCCTGTCCTCTCACGGTCACCCTTTAAGGTCAAACGCGGGGTCAAAAGATGGGGAACTCTATATCATCCCAAACTACCGGGCGATTTTTATTTTACAAATATCAGAACACTCCTGAGCCTGAGGCAGTTTGAGGCTGCGCCGTCAACCGTTTCCGTCTGGATGGACGCTCTGTAAGACATCCTGCCGTCGACGGGTGGCAAACGACGGAAGCGCCTAAAACTGCTATGTCGCCGAATCATGCGAAAGTATGCAAACGATCCTGCGTTCGCGAGCGAAGTACAAGAGGCCCGAGACCTAATAGTCGTCGGTAGTGCATCCGCATGGAAGAAGGAACTAGACGAGAACAACAACAGGTCGTGCCCACTACCGGTGGCAACAGCTGAGCGCACGAGCCTGGCCCCTATGAGCCCGTCTCCTGACGCGACCGGCCCCGCAACCCCGTCGACAGCTGGGCACATGAGCCCGGCTTTTATGAGCCCGTCTCCTGACGCGACCGGCCCGGCGACCCCGTCGACAGCTGGGCACATGAGCCCGGCTTCTATGAGCCCGTCTCCTGACGCGACCGGCCCCGCAACCCCGTCGACAGCTGG